AACCCTCGGTGCGCGAGTCTGACTCGCACTTGGCCGGTTTTTTCTACTTTTATGAATATATGTGGTTTATTTATTTATTTTTAATCTCATTAATATAAAATAGAGATAATAGTACAGAAAGAAACATTAACCTTTACATTTTCCAAACAAATTAACTTCCCTGCTATGTAATCTGTCAAATATTATACCTCACTTTTAAGTGGCGCCGCCCTGGTGGCAGAAAAAGTCTTGGATGCCCTCATTTGCCTTAAATTAACAAACAGTTAAGTAACATAATACAAAGGTTGGAAATTTATCGAGAAGAATGTTTGAAGAATGTGCATGCTGTGGTGCTAGTAGTATACACTTATTACTGACCTCCATATATACCTACTTAGTCCCCACGCTGTACTGGCCCTACAAAACGTTTGTGTTGATTTGAAGCACCGCCATTGAGTTTCAGATGAAGTAAAAAAAGGACACACAGGATGGCATTTTGTAGGCAAATTTACTGCCCGACGCCCCAAGCCCCAAGAGGTACTGACGAAAATGAGCGTAGTTTGATGCATGTGTGTGCGTGAACGCGTGTATTTACTTAAAGGAGCGGAGTTTTTTGGCTTCACCAATTAGAAAGGCCGCGTAGTATCTACCTTTTTTTACTTCATCTGAGCATTGAGTATACACGCATGTACCGGCATTTAAATTTGACATAACTTGCAAATGACCGTTGTTTTGCTCAAAATGTCTAAGAGTATTTTAAAGCGTTAAATGAGAAAAAGAGTATGTGTTGTGTAGTTCGGTTATGTTTCATGTTAGTAATGTAATAAAAAGTATTTTTAGTAACAATGATAATGTAAAACTCTTTACTAGAAGGGAAATGTGGTAACAATCCACAGGTGGGGGATTTACAGTTTAAATTAAAATATTAAAACTATTTGATATTAAAAGCTCTCAAAAATCTGTCACTTATCTTATTAAATGTAATTACTAACATATTTGACTTCAAATTACCTATTTTTGATAAACAATAAAATTTAAGGATGACGAGTTTCTTGTCGATTAAACTTATTTTTTTTTCTACCTATATCTGTTTACAACGGTTTACAACAATGAAAGTCGCTGACAACAGATAAATATCAAATATTTATTAATTCACAGGTTTTCAACTGACTCTGTAATAAAACTGCGACTAAAAAGCATAAAACTAGTGAACTGGCGTCGTGAAATTATTTATGTTATATTGATTATGACGTCAATGTATTGTAGTAGGTATGGTATTTTTAATATAATTTAAAGTACAAAATTCTAATTGTATCTATAGATATGGTTGAAATGGGCATAACATTTTGGCAGCTTATTGATTTTTTCTATTACGAGGACTAAATGAATGGTTAACAATAAATTCTTTACAAAATTATTTTATTTTTTATATCGTAGTATCCTACTCGTCTTCTCTACTCATTGGAGCATTTTAAACCTCTCGAATGAATCATACATACCCAATGGTCACAAACTAATAAGTAGTGCTAGCGCACCCAATGGGGAAACCTGGAACCCGTTTTATTGTTACGAAGAAAGACTTAGATTGACTAACGCGCTATCGATTTTTGTTTTATATGGGATATAAAGCTTGAGTCTAAGCCATAAATATTAATAGATACATTTATTTATTGTATGGCATTGTATTAAAATGATACATAAAGAGAATGGTAGGCCTGTGTATAGAATTTTTATCGATATATTTTTTCACACTGTCCTATCTCTATTATTAGTTCTGTGGACGCTCACTAATGCTATCAACGCCAAAATGGTGAAAATCACGGTGTATAGCCACTCCAGTACAGCGTAAATACTTATATATACTTGTATAGAGGTCAGTGATACTCAAAGACGCGTGTTACATTGTTTTTAGTTTGGGGCTTTGGAGAGAGTATTCTTCTGTCTTTAGGGACTATACTCGGTTGAGCTAAGTTTGCTCCTTGGCGAATGACTTCATTCGGATGCTCGGGTATGGTATGCAAAAAATAATTAATGGGAAATGTTTACTTAAACACAACATAGCAATATTTGTAATAAGTTTATGTTGAAACTGTGCAATTATTATTCAAATGATTACTAGATGAGATTGAAAATAGAAGACATTATGATGTCATAATTCTTTTTTTTTTATTGAAATCAATAGTAAATAAATACAAATTATTCTTATATCATAATGGAATCATGAACCGATTTTGATGAAATTTTGTGTGTGTGTGATTAAGTTGATTCGGGGATGGTTTAGATACACAATTGGACCCGGTAGGTGGCGCCGTTGTCAAGATCCAGAAACCACCTGTTCGAAGCCAGGACGTATCGCCAGTATACATATAAGTCGTACATAGATCATAGTGATGATACGAGGGTGACACTGAAAGTCCTTACAAATACAAAAACTGAACAAACTAGCAAGTTATTAGTTCTATTAGGTATATCTTTTCAAAATAGTGTCCATTTACACCAATACATCGCTGCATCCGATGGAAGCACTGAGAAAAGCACTTTGCCCATTCGTCCTTACGGGTCTCTTCGATGGCATTTTGAAACGCAGCCACTGCTTCCTCGGCGTCCATAAAACGTTTTCCTCGAAGTTTTTCTTTTATTTTCGGAAATAAATAAAAATCGCAAGGTGCGAGGTCGGGGCTATAGGGCGGGTGACCCAGTAATTCCACGTCTGACGTCGCCAAGTAGTCGACTGTTTGCTTGGCGGTGTGCGACGAGGCGTTGTCCTTGTGAAGGAGGATCCTACTGCGAGGTCGTTTTCCTGAACTTTTTCCAAACTTGTGTCTGAAGTCGAGACTTTGTTGAACAAAGTCTCAGACTGGGGTCGACTAAATCTAGTCCAGTTCAATCCCCAGAAGACACAAGTTTGCGCGTTTACCGCTAAAAAGAACCCTTTTGTCGTATCTCCTCAGTTTCAAGGCACTCCCCTTGTTGCCTCAATCAGTATCGGGATCCTTGGTGTCGACATATCGAGTGACGTGCAGTTTCGTGGTCACTTGGAAGAGAAGGCCAAATTGGCCTCTAAAAAGCTTGGCGTGCTCAGCAGAGCGGGACAGTATTTCATGCCGGCACACCGCTTGTAACTTTACAAGGCGCAGGTTCGGCCCCACATGGAATACTGTTCCCATCTCGAGGCAGGGGCTCCCAAGTGCCAGCTCCTTCCACTTGACCGCATCCAGCGCAGAGCGGTTCGAATCGTCAACGACTGAGTTCTTTTCGATCGGCTTGACTCATTGGCACTGCGTAGAGTTGCATATCTTTGCGTATTTTATCGCTTCTATCACGGGGAGTGCTCTGAGGAATTGTTCGGACTAATTCCAGCCGCCCAATTTCACCATCGCACATCGCGACAAAACGCGATACCATCCATATCATCTGGATGATTGGCGGTCCACCACTGTGCGATTTAGAAGAAGTTTTCTTCCTCGCACCACTTCCTTGTGGAATCCATTACCACCAGCGATTTTTCCGGACCGATATGACTTAGGGACCTTCAAGAAAAGAGCCTACTCCTTTTTAAAAGGCCGGCAACGCATCTGCAATTCTCCTGGTGTTGCAGTTGTTCATGGGCGGCGGTAGTCACTTACCATCAGGTGAGCCGCATGCTCGTTTGCCCCCTCTCCTATAAAAAAAAGACAAGTGGCAAACAATTGTCAGTTTACCACTCTGCAGTAACTGTTTTTCGATCTCTTTTTCGAACTGTTTTTCGATTGTTGCGTAATGACCTATCCTTCCGAAGAACGAGGCCGCCATGTTTTTCCCACGCTTCGACCTCTTTTCACTTTAATTGGCAACTCCTCGGAAAGAAACACCAAGACAACAGATTGTCTCTTAGTTTCAAGATCATAACAATAAATCCAGCTTTATAAAAGCTTTTACAAAAATTTACTTCGCAAATATCCGCGTTATAAAATAAAATGATGTGTCTTACCTAGTATGAAGAAGCACCGCTAATAGGTGATATAGACTCTACGGTAGCGGTTAGCCACCGTAGAGTCTATATCACCTGAGGATGCCTCGTGTAGAGGCGAAACACGTGTCGTATTATCGTCAGTGGTGTGTCTTGCCTAGTGTAGTGGTGTTGGAAGTAGCGGTGCTGGGATTAGTGGTGACGGGGATAGTGCACGCAATTCAGGGAGGGCGGGAGGTGCTTCTTCATACTAGGTAAGACACATCATTTTATTTTATAACGCGGATATTTGCGAAGTAAATTTTTGTAAAAGCTTTTATATAATGGATTTCCGCAAAGTAACGCCTGATTCTATTAATTAAATCCAGCCTTCGTCACCCGTAAGTATATCGAACACAGCATTTGTGTCACCTCCGTTAAATCTTTGAACCATTTCACGACACCAATCAACACGACGGAGTTTTTGGGCCTCTGTCAAATTATGAGGTATCCACCGGGCTCAAAGTTTCCTGAGCGCTAAATGTTCATGGAGGATTTTGTGCACTTGACTCATACCGATACCTTATACTTGTAGCTTGTTCGAATCTGCTGATTAGTTACTCTTTTGTCAGTCTATCATACGCCGCACAACACTGATGTTATCTCAGTCGTCGCCGTAGAAGGCTATCCCTCACGCAGATCATCGGTGAGATTAGTGCGACCACGTTTAAACTCATTAAAACAGTTGTAAACAGTGGCAAGAGATGGGGCTTCATCAAAAAAGGCCAAGGGAAGTCTATCATAACTTTCTTGTTGACTTAAATGACATCGAAGGTCATAAAAAATCATTGTACGAAAATTTTCTCGCGTTAAATTCATGCTGACGTGACACAGACAATTTTCAATTTGTCGCCAAATCCTAAACAAATGACAAATTAATAAAATATATACCCAATAATATTGGCAAAGAGTTCCACTTCCATTTTCAAAATTTGAACTTATTTTTTCATTATATCGCTTACAAGTGACCAGTTCTAAACTTTCAGTGTCGCCCACGTAATCAATTTTAGGTATTGATTAATCATCATCATCACTATGACTTATCGGTGACTGACATCGTTTTGCTTTCGCTGTCTGAATCCGAACTATTTTCTCCTCCTAGGGATATTATTATTTCCCGTTGATTACGCTCTTCGAGATGGTCGCTATCCCAGTAATTTTGCTCGAGTCTTTCGACGTGATTAATTTCTTTTTTCAATCCGAAGGTCAGTTTTTCAATTTCCTTCTTTGACTGGATGATGTTTTTGTCCGCCACCCTTTGTTTAACCAAATTCCATATACATTCTATAGGATATAGATCCCAGTGATAGGGTCTCGCTACGTAAGGCACACACAAAACTTCATATCCACGTTCTTTCATCAGATTGTCGACGATATATTTTTTGGTGGCTTCGATTTTAATATTCTGCATATAATTCTATCATTGTCATTTTATCATCATATGGAAAGTTGTGGGCACATTTTGGGGCTGTGTGGACTGGTTAAGACGCGTTGTCAATTACTATAATCCCATTTGGCGGTGAATTTGGAATTAATTTTTCTTTTAACGATTTCTCAAAGTTTTTATTTATTTATTTATTTATACATATATAATACACAATCATTACAGGGTGAGTACCCTAATTCGACAGTGTAGCCAACGATACAGTAAGATATGCCATTTTACTGAGCTCACTCAGCGAACATGAAAATAAATCAGTTCGCTCCGACATGGTGTTGATCACACGCAGCGCGCGCGTGAACGATGCTTGCTGCATCAATGCAGTGCGCGCGTGTGGCACTGCCAGTAACGACGGCCGCCGTCGACGCCCCGCGCTTCCGTCAGGCGCATTCAGTCGCACCATCTCCAACACTCTCCGGCTGTGTATCCTACCCCTGATCACCTTCAACACGTAAAAATATAGTAGGATACAACAAGGGATATCCCGGGTACACTCCGAATTGCTTTAAGTATAAGAATCTAATAATTTATTTTGGATCCACTCTAACATATATTTGTATTTGGCTTCATGGGGAGCCCAAATGACGGCGTTACACTCTAAGTGGCTCCTTACGAGTGTATCATATAGCGCTCTCAGAGCCCAGACATTAGTGAAATTATTTGCAAGGCGCATTATCAATCCGAGATTACGGTATGCCTTTATACAAACATTACTTACATGTAATCTAAAGTTTAATTCTGCAGTGAAATGTACACCTACATCTCTAACCTCCGTTACTCTATGAAGCATCTTCCCGTCCATCATGTATGGGTGATGAATTGGGGCGCGTGAGCGGCAAAGGGACAGCAATGAGCATTTAGAGACATTAAAAAAAAGTTTATTATCTATGCTCCATTCTAAAACTTTATCAATATCATGCTGTAAAGAGTCACAATCATATTTATCTCTAATTTTTAAAACTAATTTTAGATCATCAGCAAACAGTAATGAAGTACAAAAATTTGCTACATTGGGCAAATCATTTATCATTAAGATGAACAGCAAAGGTCCTAGATTGCTGCCTTGACTAACACCAGATCTAGTAAGGTAGGGTCGAGAAAAGTGCCCATTGCAATCAACAAACTGATGCCGATCTCGCAGGTAACTGGTGAAAAATGATAGCGTGCGAGGTGTGAAGCCCACACAAGCCAACTTACAAAGTAGAACATCATTGTCGACCGTATCTAAAGCCTTTCTAAAGTCGAAGTAGGCGACTACTTGCAGGCCAGCATCAACCGCGGGTACTAGATGCGTCTTCAGCTCCAGTAAGTTCCCAGTTGTCCCCCGCCCAGGGCGGAAGCCGTGCTGCGCGTCGGACAACTGTGCATTAATCTGTGGGTACAGGCAGTTGTAAATGGCCGTCTCGAACACTTTCGCTGGAGTGCTTAAGACTGCCACGGTTTATTAGTTATTAGTGTCATTCTCGTGATGAAAATCTGCTGTGGTACTTTTGCATTTGTACAATAGTTTGGTACATGAAATAAAACCATTTTCTCCCGCAGCATGAATAAGAATCCATATTCGGGTTGGATTTATATTTTTTTTCACTATTTCGCCAGCACTTATTCACAGTATATGAGAGTATCCAAGTTTCGTCTAAGAACGTAACAGGCTTTTTATCTGCGTCACGGTCATTATTCTCTTTTTTTCGCCATAGGGAGCAAGCCCTCCACGCCGCGATTTCTGGCTTTTGTATAAAAATCATGCGGGCGTTTTTACATTTCTTGAACATATAACCAAGTTGGTCGATAATTATTTTTCTAAGAGTGGATTTTTCACCTTGAAAATTAAGATCCCTTTTAGCAAATGCAAGAATTTTTTTAGTGTTGGTATATCCTTTCTCACTGTCTAAAATTGATGATGTTTCATATAGTATAGAACTCAAAATTATCAAGACCAATTTTTTGACGTTTGATGTTTTTTACCCCGTGTCGATAATTTGTGTTCCGTTGCTTGAATACTGTATTACTAGGATTAGCAGTACTAGTACTTGCGCCCGGCGAAGAAGGCGGCTGTTATGCTCATCTTACTTCTTATTTGAAGTTATACTTCTTTTGGGGCGTTTGGGAAAAATGATGAGTGTGAATTTTTATGATGCGCGCGCACACCGACACCTAAAAATGACACCATGAAGTTGTTACGATGCGCGCGCACACTGACACCTAAAAGCGACAACTTCAGTGGGTATCTGTCTCTCAACAACAACACAGTTTTTGTGGGAAGTGATAACTTTATTTAAAGTTATTTTTAGTTATCTTTGTTTTGTTACGTTAAAGAAGTATAACTTCCTACGTGCGTACATAAGTACACACACACGTTTTATATATTCATGAGAGTTCTCTTTGACATACCGGTTGCAGCACAAGTTTGTTTGATAACTCGATCCAAGGGCTAGTTCAAACATTTGTTATTCCCATGGAAATATATGTACTTCGTACTACCGTGGTTATTCCTTTGTTGCTCAAAAAAATTCAGAACTTTTAATATGATGTTCCTTCATTTACTACGAATAACTTTTGCCTTCATTTCAATGGAATACAAATGACTTTATAGGCACAGTTAAAAAAAAGCTGAACGATAACTTTCCAACAACAAAACTTATAAAAAACTTAGCAGGAATAATGTGAAAACGTATATAATAACTAAACGTCAATAAAAACTTAAAAAATCTTAAAAACTTAAAAAGAATCCAAAAACTAAACTATTCGTTTGGAGACGAAAATTAGGAGATTTTTCCGGACCGATACGACTTAGGGACCTTCAAGAAAAGGGCGTACTTCTTTTTAAAAGGCCGGCAACGCATCTGCAAGTCCCCTGGTGTTGCAGTTGTTCATGGGCGGCAGTAATCACCACCAGGTAAGCCGTATGCTCGTTTGCGCCCTCTCCTATAAAAAAAAAGGGAACCGCGTATTGGTAACAAAGATGCAAACCGTGCTGCATACTGACACGACTGGACGAACGCAGGGTTGAGAGCGGTGTAACGGGAGAGGAACTCGCATTTTAGTGAGGAGCAAACTAAAAGATATCTTTGTGGAAACTTAGCTCAACCGTGTAATTGTATTCTGTGGTATCATTACACAGACTAAACCTGTTATAGGATAATAAATTTTTCATTACCTGGCTATTGTACTAAGGTTATGAGTCTATACCAAAAAAAAAATTCTTTAAGACATTGACATATGTCACATATGCATATGTCACTGTCAGGTGTCAGTGTCACTCCTCCCCTGTTTGCTCCCTCCCGTTATCCCGTAACAATATAATATTAGAACCCGTGGACAAAAATTTAGGTTATTATAGCTTGTTTACTTTTGAATATTCCTAATGAAGTCTATTTTATCTGCTAAGTAATATGGATTCCAACTCTTTAAAGCGGGAGTTGGTGTGTGTTTTATTCCCTGGTATTGTTAAAAACGATGAGAAAGCAATACAGTGTTTGGGTGGTCTAAAAGGAATCTCACAGGTTTGTTATTTATTTAAAAAAATATGTGTTAGTAAAAAGCAATTTTTTATAGTAAAAAAGAAGTCCAAGACGTTTATTTAGTGGAGTTCACAAAATTGAGTCTCCATCCTGGGGATATCTTAAATCTTTTTTTTTAATCACTTCATCAACATCATCACAGCCCTTCACAAGTCCACTGCTGAACATAGGCATTACCCCAAGGAATGCCACAAAGCACGGTCCTGAGACACCTGCATCCATCGACTTCCTGCATGTCTTATCCCCTATGAAATCACATATGTATTGTTAATTTCTAACTTAATTACAGAGTGGAGATGGTGTATTAGGGTCATTTTTGCGTAATCAAATTAATTTATATATCGTTTGGATGATATTATGATATCCATTGAACAGTAAAAACAGCCAACCTGGCTCGATGGTTGCAGCGGATGCCGACTAAGTCACCGTGGTGCCAGTTTCATAACCTGTTCACATTTATGGAAAGGCTTGTTGATAGACAAAGATAGATAACAAATAATTTTTAATTTGTAATTTGTTGACGAATTTGAAGATATTGCCAGTTGAAAATTGTCTATTAAATCACCCAAATTCAGCGCTTGTTCATTTTATCTTGTATTTAGTGTTTTCTTGTTTATTATTTGCTGAGAACATCAGAGTATCGAGAAATATAAATTATCTGTAATATTTGCACATAGTTTTGTGTGTTTTCATTCACTTTTGTTACATTTTAAATCTACCTTTTTTTTTAAGTTCGCTATGAAATTGGGTATTCAAACTAATTTATTAAATTTATTACTTTGCTTTTAGTACTAATGTTATATTATAAACTTAGTTGAGAAAAATGTTTTTATTATAGTTTTATGTATAAACCACGTCATTATTCGCATATAATACAAGAAAACACATATTAAGTAAAATATGAAACTTTTTTGGCCCGGGCAGTATTAGATAGCCATAATGGGGTTAACTGTTGAGGGTATATATATAGGGTAGCAAACCCATTATCAAATATTAGTTAAATAATAGTGAACCACTATGCAGTTTTATTTAATTAGTTGACATACATGATAAAATTCTTAAAAATTGGTTTCATTTAAATGTTTAATCTATAATTATACGACGGTTCCGTGGTGCAGTGGCTTAGCAATCAGTTGTTGCGCTGGGGGCCGCGGATTCGAATCCCGCACGGAACAAGTATTTGTATGGCCTACAAATAATTGTTCCGGGTCTGGATGTTTGTCCTTGTGCAATTTATGTTTGTAAACTGCCTCCACGACACAGGAAAAAATCCTAGTGTGGGGGTAACGTTTTTATTTAAAAAAAAAAAGTAAAAAAAAAATTATAAGTATACAATAATTGTAATTACCTACATTTTTAGTGTGATGAGTGCTCTTTATCTAAGCAAAGATCCAGACCATGTTGTTTAACATAACAATTAGCCATTTTTTATAATGTTGGGAGTGACAAAAGTACTAACATTCCACTTGATGATATAGCACACCAATTCGTCGTCAACGTCGCAAAGGGGTGAACAACAATTTTCAAAAAAATGCAGGAGCTTGCTCTCCTTTACGTTGTCTCCAAAACTTTAGTTTTTCCCCGATTGCTAGCTTTTTTCACCAGAAACTTTGAAATATTAAATTTCATGGAAAACTTCAAATACAATCGTATTGTATGATAACAGAACTAAATGAAACTAATTTTTACGGATTTTATCGCGTTTAATTTAACTTTGTAATTCCCGACGTTTCTGCTTTCGTGCTTTACAGCACCCATGGTCACAAAGCGGACTGAGGTTTTTGACGTCCCGATGTCATAGTTAGCCCGGCTACCTTCAGTTTTTGAATATTAATTTTTGGTCCGGTCTACGTAGAATGAGTTGGTCTTCAGAGAATGTTCCACATCCTACATCTTCAGTTGTCTTAGAACCATCGCTGAAAACTCTGAAGTTCCTTTGGGCTTAATCCCTCTGCTGGCTGGCTCGTTTCATTTAATTGTATCTTCTACTTCTTATCGAACACAAATTGTTTGGAGATCTTATCATTCTTGGTTTGTAAGATAGGAATTTTTTAGTAAATTCTATCAATTACACCTGTATGAGGGACTCTACTCTTACTCCAAAGATTTAAGGTCTTGAGTCTAACGGCAGCTAAATTCGCTTCTTGTTGTATGTGTAGATGAAGCGGGGCTAGCTCCAGCATAGCATCTAAGTCTGCTGTTGGTGTAGCCCTTGTGCAGCCTGTGACAGCCATACATGCCAGTCTCTGGTAATGCTGAAGCTTCTTTATAGTGGTGGCTTCATTTGTGTTGGTCCACCATACGCAGGCGCCGTATGTGATCATGGGCCGAATTACGTAGTATAATTTTTGGCGTCAGACCCCATCGTTTGTCAATGATATTTCTGCATTGGCAGAGGGTTATACTAGCTTTGTTGATTTTGTTTTCTATGTACTTATTCCAGTAGAGTTTACTGTGGCGGCTCTTCATGTTGGCCAGCATTGTGGCGAATGTTGTGTCCAATACCGATGGCCATCTTTTAGAGCGGGTGTTTTTGCTTCACTTGGTATGTATTTGAATGATGGCCCACAAGTTGACGCGAGATTTTTTTTGCATTTTTTTTTGATCATCCTTTTCTTATACACATTCACGTAGTAGCGGTATGCTGTGAATAAATAAACCGCAGCAGCCGTTAGCGCCTCAACATCCATTTTATTAAATTCGTCCGCATATTGGCCTGAAGCGAAACAAACTGAACGACCTTCCAACGTGTGGACGTCATAACAAACTCTTGGCCATAATATCTTTGCCAACATATTCAATCAATCAATCAATCAATGTCTTTATTCATTAACAATAAATTGTGTACGAATATTACAGGAATGTCCAATTTATATTGCTAAAACTTAACTTAGTTAAACAAAATAAATTAATTAGATAATCAAACAATAAAATAAAATAAAAAAAATTAAATTAACTAATAAATGTCATCACAATCATTATTCTACCTACTTAACGATTAATATTCATCACAAATGTTGAATAATATATTGTTTACATAATATAATAAAAAACTAAACTTCCAAAAAATAAAAAGAAATGAGAAATAATCAAACTAATAAATTTATTATCATTTAAATAAATATTATGACTACTCTATAGTTAAAATTCATCAACACTGTAAATACATTTGCCACTATGTTGCCCAATGTGAAGAGCCTCCTTAAGCTGTAGGCTTATTTGTCGTGTAGCGGTAACTTCATTAGCGCCGACCTCCTTAATTCCCTTTCACACATCCTCTCCATCGTCTTTAGAAGAAAGGATGTGAGGCTAATGGGTCTGTAGGATTTAGGGTCTGTATAGTCGCTCTTACCTGGTTTGGTTATGAATGTGATTTTCATTTCCCTCCATCCCCTAGAAATATATTTAAGAGCCAGACAGGCTCTCATTATGGCAATAAGTCTGACTATTAGGACTTTCTCCCCACTGTAGGAGTGCCGGGAATATGCCAGCAGGTGCTGCCGCCTTATAGGGGCGGAAACTGTGAATGGCCCAATGGATTTTATCCATCGTTACTACTCTCTGTGCTAAATTTACCTACTTACCGGAACAAACTTGTGTCTGAAGTCGAGTCTTTGCTGAACAAAGTCTCGGATTGGGGGCGACTAAATCTAGTCCAGTTTAATCCTCAGAAGACACAAGTTTGCTCGTTTACCGCTAAAAAGAACCCCTTTGTCGTATCTCCTCAGTTTCAAGGCACTCCCCTTCTCGCCTCAGACAGTATCGGTATCCTCGGAGTCGACATATCGAGTGACGTGCAGTTTCGTGTTCACTTGGAAGAGAAGGCCAAATTGGCCTCTAAAAAGCTTGGCGTGCTCAGCAGAGCGGGACAGTATTTCATGGCGGCACACCGCTTGCAACTTTACAAGGCGCAGGTTCGGCCTCACATGGAATACTGTTCCCATCTCTGGGCAGGGGCTCCCCAGTGCCAGCTCCTTCCACTTGACCGCATCCAACGCAGAGCGGCTCGAATCGACGACGACCGAGCCCTTTCCGATCGGCTCGATTCATTGGCACTGCGAAGAGGTGTTGCATCCCTTTGCATTTTCTTTCGCATCTACTATGGGGAGTGCTCTGAGGAATTGTTTGGATTAATCCTAGCTGCCAAATTTCACGAACGCACATCGCGGCAGAACTCCCGATACCATCCACACCATCTGGATGATTGGCGGTCCACCACTATGCGATTTAGAAGATGTTTTCACGACTTCCTTGTAGAATCGATTACCATCAGCGATTTTTCCGGACCGATACAACCTAGGGACCTTCAAGAAAAGAGCGTACTCCTTTTTAAAAGGCCGGCAACGCACCTGCAATTCCCTCCCTGGTGTTGCAGTTGTACATGGGTGGCGGTAGTCACTTACCATTAGGTGAGCCGCATGCTCGTTTGCCCCCTATCCTATAAAAAAAATTTCTTTCTTCTGCTGTTAGTGTTAGTGTATCTTCATGCTGGTTAACCCCCTGAGTTACGCAGCAACATTCGAAGTGCATTTCAATTAGGATGCGTTGGGTTTCATCTGGCGATGTTGAGTAGCTTCCGTCGGGTTTCTTTAGAGAGATGGATCCCGGTGTGTTCTGTCTAGCTTGTATATTGCTTATCCTATTTGATTGTTCTATGTTGCCACAGAATTTACGCCACCCTGTCGAGCGTCGATACCTGATACATTTTTTGTATTCGGACTTAGCTTTCTTGTATAGTAGCCAGTCAGTCAGTTGTTTTAGTTAAGATTTCACCCAGTTCTTGAGGACTTGTGACGTAGTAGCCAGGTTGTCTAATTAAAATATGCCATATGGTTAGCCTCGTCGGCGGTTTTAAAAAAATTTACAAAAAATTATTTATATTGAAGTCAGTTGTACAAAAATTTTAATTTTACCACATGTTTACCACGATATTCATTTTTCAACAGGTGTATTCTCAGCCTACAAAGAAGCGTTTAGGCTTGAGCTATCAACCTGACAATCCATATGTAAAGAAAACGTTTGCCGATTGCAAAAGGGGTTCTGGAGTGCTACTTAAAGTCAAAATAAAGAAAACAAAGGTTGATGGAAAAGAAACAAGGCAAGTTATATCATCATCTGTGGTTGGCTCAGTCAGGACAGTTTATAAATTTGAAGGTAAATTTTAGATGATCTTTGGTGTTGATATTAATAAATTATGAGTTACTGCAATAAAAAGTCTCTAATCTTTTTTGATATCACTTCTGGGCAAAGGCCTCATCTCAATTCTGAATCTTATGGAGTAATTAGTCTGCCACACTTCTCCATTGCGTCTTCACATGCACTCAGTATATTTTAGTCTTCACACAATGCAGTATTCGACACATAGTTCACCACCCAGTATGTGGTAAACTAGCACTTAAAATTGTAATTAAATATTTCATTGGAGCTGGTAGGAATAAAACTCGGATTGTTTGCATATTGCTAAATATATGTTGGAGGCTTAGCCCTTGAGTTACCACATCTCAATAAATTTTATCATCCAATCATCAACAACAGCCTGTTAAAGTTAATACGATAAGGTAGATAATGTGAAGATGTGGCATTGAAAAATCGTGCACAATCACAATATGATCAATTTACCAGATCCAAAAACCAACACTTTGTATTTCCACATACATTTCATAGTTGTTTGGTGTTGTAAGAGGCAACTTTGGAAAATGCCAAAAAGATAACATGGTGTCCGATAGATAGCAGAACAACCATCTAGTTTACGCCAGACGTAACATACCCAGACTGGTGACGGCAACAGCGCTACAGGTGCAAGACTTCTACTGTGACTGTCAATCCGCCAAGCGTGATGCTTAAGGGAAATCCTCCTGAAATCGGGTGAGACCTATGTCCAGTAGTGGATATTAAAATTATCCGAAGTAAAGGCCCTAATTAGAAGGCTCCATGGCGCAGTGTTCGTGGACGCTCTTAACACCTTGCCTTGCTGACACTCGTCCCACACGTTGAATCCCACATAGAACAAGTATTTGTATGGCCTTCAAATTATTGTTTTGGGTTAGGATGTTTGTCCTTATGCAATTTGCTTGTAAACTGCTTCCACGATACAGGAGAAAATCTTAATGGGGGTTACGTTTAAAAAAACGGTTTTGTATTGCAGCTCTATCCCTTGTTTGACAGCTACGGGCGCATAGTTGAAAAGATAAAATTGTCTTTACAATTTATTTGTTTACTTTCAGCAATGTGTGATTTTCAATATCTACCAGTGAGTAGTGAAGGAACCAGTCAAACAAAGTGTTTATTGGAAAAGATATTGCCCTCTGGCGTTGATTCCTTCAACTTTATGCTGTAAGTGTAGTATTTTCTATCAATAATAGAGACACCGAGCATAACCTAAGGGCGATAAAAAATGCTTTTAATTGCTCACACTTCAGGGGATGATAAACAGACATTAAGTTAACCAATTTTTTTTTATTTTAGAGAGCCAGCACCATTATTTATAGTTCCATCTAACTTCACAAGATTTGATAAACCAATTAGTTATAACTACACTGACAAAAGATTCCCTGGCAGAGAAAAGGATATTACCCATGACGACATTCATCACAGAATTCGAACAGAGCGAGGCACGCCGCTAACACGGTATACATTCAATTTGGTAGACGAATTAGCCACCAAACCCCACGTTTATTACATAAAACAAATGGAGAGTAAGAAATCTATGTACCCTCCACTGGAACAGGAATATGACATTGTTAAAAAGGTGGGCATTATTATTGTTATTTTATATATTTTACCAGGTGGTAGGATTACTTTTTTCCCTAGGAGTTTGTCTCCTCGTCCGATCGTTTCCTCCACTAAACAGCGCCTGTACTGCTGTGTTCCCATATATGAAGGGTGAAGAGAGTGAGTATAATTCTACGCTGTGAGGCACTCACAGTCATCTAAGTTCTTAGGGCTAGTAGTTATTTTTGTTTGAAGTAAGCTGCAGGTGTCCTTTGGTTGCAATAGCTACTTATCATCAGCTGGGCTAAATTCGCTTCTCACTTTTCAATTTTTTTTTATAGAATAGGGTGACAAACGAGCACACAATCCACCTCATGGTAAGTGGTTGCTGCGGCCCATAGACGTCTAAATCAAACAAAATAAAGATGCGTTGTCACCCGTGAGGACTAAGATGGAATGCCTCATTTCCAGTAAAAAGGGTCTCCGGTTCTCTACACTCACCATACGAAACACAGCAGTGTTAAGCTGCTATTTTACCCTGGTATTCCGTGAGAGCGTGGTCCTTCCCCGGTCGAGCCGACCCATTCGTGCTACAACTATACCACTAATATAGCTGCAGCATGGCTCTACTACGTTTGTACAAAAATTTATAAACAAATGTATAAACGTAGTAGAGCCATGCTGCAGAGGAAAACGAAAATAAAATAATGCTGCTAGAATGGCGGGTTTTAATTAACAAATGCATTTATCACACAGCAATTTACTTATTTAGTATCGTTTATTTTCGCGTTTTCTAAGAAGCTGGATGGCTTTCCTTATATTCTGTTTTCAACCTCTAAGAGTTCACTGCTGAAGTTAACACCGGACTCATATGCTGTGAAATTTAGTTATATTGGTGTATATAGTGATAAATTGTAAATAGGTCTGTGAAATTAAAAAAAAATACATATGGGTATGCTTCCAAACCTATTTTTTCTTATTTCCATCCACAACTTTTTCTGCTACCAGCGGCGTCACTTTGGAATGGGGTGAAAATATTTGACAGATTTCATGGAGAAGAAGTTAGATTATTAGGAAAATATAAAGTAATGTTTCTTTCTGAAATAATATTTATATTTCAATTTATTACATAAAAATGGATAAAACAAAGTACGGATATTCCATAATATAAAAGAGAGTAAAAAATGTGGAAAAAATTAAAGAGCCACCCCTGAGGCATTGTTTTGTGTGGCCAAAAATTTTTATTTCAAATGCAAATTTTCACAGGTGATACTATTTAACAATTATCTTCACCTCAATCCCAACAAGCGACATCTGTTGAGCGGTAAATTATTAGCCCTCATTGAAGCTTAGGATTGTTAACATAAAATGGTAATAGGTATGTACTTCAAATGCCTATTGCGATTTAAATCTACTTTATTCATTTTAATCCTGATATGTTATTTAAGTAATAATAAATCTATAAATCAAGTATTAATGAATCTAAATCTTTTTAAATTTATTTTGCAGATGTTTGAAGAAAGGCCGATCTGGTCACTTAACCTCGTGAAGTATCATACTAAAATAAGGCTTTCTTCATTGAAAATTATAATGCCTTGCCTTGCGATTTACATGAAGGACGGGCCATGGAGGATGTTGTGGGTCAGATTTGGCTACGATCCACGGAAGGATCCTGGAGCAAGAATTTATCAAACTCTGGATTTCAGGTTGAGACATACAGGTAATTTTTTATGCCTTGATGTTTTATCATAATCACTAATTTCAAACACAAGTTGTCGTAAAGTATATAATTCATATGGGACCACACGAGAAGTACCAGCTTTTAAATAAAAAAAGAATCATCGAAATGTGTTCACCCAGTAAAAAGTTACGAGGTAACACACATAAAAAAACATACAGTCGAATAGAGTACCGCCTTCTTTTTGGAAGTCGGCAGAAAAATAAAACAATTAGATAACCTAATATAACCGAATTTAAGCTTAAATTTTGTCATAAACCAAAACAAGTTCAGGTTTTTCATTAAAAAAAAAACAGATTTTTTTCAGGTTAATGGTTGGTTTTTCAGGTTAATATTAAGTAATAATTTTGTCTTCTTCCGGTTCTCGATCAAAAACCAAGGTTATTGATCAAAAATCTGATTTTACCATAAAGCTGTGAACTGAATGTAAGCAGTGCTGTTATGGAGCGGTCTGTGATTTGATAATACCAGTGATATTAAATCCGAAGTGTTTCTTCGCTACCGACAGCCGGGGTCCACTCGATGGTGATGACACGCGACAAGGTGGTGCACTACAAGAAGGCAGTACGTGTGCGCCAGCTGAAGCACGAACTCGACGAGCCGCAGCCGGCCGATGACGTCAGCGAAGGCGCCGTCTGCTTCCGGCCCGGCATGGCGCCCTCGCAGCGACAGATATTCTACCAGGTGATGATTCGACATGACGAGCGCGCGCCACAAATCATTACTTTTTTAGTCTACTCTTAGAATACATATTTTTTAAGATTCACACAACATGTTCAGCAATCGAAATTTGTAATGCTGCTTCTCATATCACCAATATGTGAAAGAACAATGGCAGACTTTCATACATAAAATTAGTTGAGAAGAAATGGTAGCGTCTATATTTATCAAAATATCTTAAAATGTTAAGCGTCAGTTCCTGAGTAACTATGTCAAAGAATTTTGTCCTGAGAAGGCGTCAAAAGATACCCTAAAAGGGTTCAAATCTAAATATTTGAACCTTTTTAGGTTATGTCTTATGTCACTTGGAAAAACTCATGCGCCCTGTGGTTCTTTGATGCTAGCTTAATACATTTTCAACATAATGTACCTACCCACATAATTGAGTTTTTAGATTATTTTTATCTCTATTAAATATGAGGATAGATGTAGATGTCTATGGGTCACAGTAACCACTTACCATCAGGGGGACTGTGTGCTCGTTTGTCACCCGATCCTATAAAATAAAAAATAAAAAATATTCGCATACTATAAATGTGTTTTCTGGCATGTGTTCTGACCCTTTGTGCTATACAGTAGACATGTTGTTTTAGCTACTGTTGCCATAACATTAAATGGAATTGTTACGTAGTACTATAATTGAGATAATGTATTATTGCAAGAACTTTTTTGTAAGAGACTTATTTTCAACCATATCACTTTTATTTTTATTATTACTGATAGTATAGTTATTATTAATAATAACTTCCTATAAAAAATATTTTGTGTTTGTTTGTTGTATTGGTAGTTTTACAAAGTGTATACGAAAATAGTATGAATATAATAAGTGGCAACACTTGAATTGTGTAAAATAATTAAAGTCATTTGATATTCCCAAAAATGTATGTTTTTCTCTGTGGCTTTAATTAAAATACATTTTTATTTGAAAAGTTATAGAAAAATAATTAAACTCATTTTATATATAAGTTATTTCTAGACGTAACCATTTTTGTTAACTATTTTTCTGCCCTTGTTATTTGGGTTTGACATTTTTGAACACTTTATTGTGTCATACGTCGTTACTTCGCGCGCAGTTGAGGTTTATATTTAGAAAAAAAAATCTTATTTAAAATTTCTTGATTAGTACTTTTCCCAGAATTAAGCGAATTTTTTGGGAGATTTAGATGACAACTTAACTGTGCAGTTAGTCGAATACAATAATATCTCGAGGCGCCTGAGTGGATGACGTTACTTGAAATATATATCGCCATACGCTTAAATAACGAGTTGAAATCATTATTTAAGCGATAATACAGGAGGGGCAACCCCCTCCTAGTAAAATTCTTTTTACATTAAGGAAAAGAGCCAAGTAATTAGGCTAATGAATAAGGCGAGACAGATGATTCCTTTGTAGATGCCCAGATTGTTGCTCTGGTTATTTCCCCTTTTACATACATTTTATAACAATTAACATTTCGTTAACGCACTAAACCGTGTCAAAGCGGTGTAAGAACATCCACTACCCCACATCGTTCCGTGGGTGTTGTAATGCGCGACACAGGAAAATAAACCAAGAGATGGGCAGCAGCAGTATATTCCTTATAACAACTGGAAAATAAAAAATGCGCTTGCCATTCCGTCTGCCAAACGTGGTAACTATGGCAGACTGGCCACCCTATGAGTAAAACTGTATATGTTACAGGCTGTAACGATGGTCTGAAAGAAGATGTAGTGACAAAAATTGAGAAAGGTATGCTGAGATGGTTTGGCCATGTCGACAGAATGAATGAAGAACGATTGACGAAAAAAGTGTATAAGGCGAGTGTGAATGAAAGTATTGGAAGGGGTAGACCTAGGCGGACATTTCAAGACCAAATCAGGGACGTCTTGAAAAAAGGCCAGGTCAAGAGTACCCTAAACCGTAGAGCATGTATGAAGGGAATAATGAAAGTGGACGAAGAGAAACAAGTATGTAAAGATCGTAGCAAGTGGAAAGAAGTGGTCTCTGCCTACCCCTACGGGAAAGAGGCGTGATTATATGTATGTATGTAACGATAAAGGTAACCGAGTAATATATAATAATGCATAATATCTTCCTTGCTGAAACGTAATTTCCTTGTTTCAAGTTAAATGTTTTAGATTAAAATTAGCAATTTTGTTCGCCTTTTGAACGTTTTCGCTGATGATGATCACATGATGATGAAATACTATATTTATATTTCTTTGTGTCATGAATAAAAGTGTAATAAAAATAAATTATTGGATTTTAGTACTGTGACGTGCATTTGCCCGAAGTGGAAGAGATCCTGGCTCTGGACCCGCCGCAAGGCTACCTCTGCCACGAGAAGCGAGGCTGGTTGCCTCCAAACACAGACCAGATATGTCGTGATCACATCTTTCGATACGTCAAGCAAACCTTACTCGCCACTCATAACGCAGACCTCAAAATCGAGGTAAGTAGAAGTGATAAAAAATTATCTACAGTTCGACTGAGTCATCATCATCATCATTACAGCCCTTCACAAGTCCACTGCTGAACATAGGCCTCCCCTAAGATATGCCACAAAGCACGGTCCTGAGCCACCTGCATCCATCGACTTCCTGCATGTCTTACCAGGTCATCACTCCATATAGTGGGGGGACGCCCTACACTTCGTCCGGCGGTACGAGGCCGCCACTCGATAACCTTTTTTCCCCATCAGTTGTCAGTTCTTCGAGCTATATGGCCGGCCCATTGCCACTGCAAGTTACTAACCCTTGGGGCTATGTCGGTCATAGTACTCATACTCAGTTCGACTGAGTAACAAAAAGTTATTTTAACCCAGTTCAAAAAACGAATAGGTTCTATATTTGACGTGTATGTTTTTTGTGTATGCTTACCGTTTTTTCGGAAACGGTTGCACGGATTTAATTGATTTTTTTTTTATTAAGGCTGGGTATTCCTGTTTTTATCCGTTTAAAAATTAGTTTTTTATAGCCAAATTATTACATTTAGAACCTGAAAAAAAAATTTCAAATATATTCATTTGATATAAATTTTTTCAATAGAAAAAAATTACCGAACTACGTTCGATTTAGAGTTTTTTTAAAAAGCCAAATTTGATTTTAAACAAGTTCTGATACTCCTTTTATTCTATAAAAATATCAATTTATAGGTAATATTTTAATGTAACTATGACGACATTCTAGTCGTTACTTGAACTTGTGATATTTCTTGGACCACTCATACCGGTAAAATAATGTAACTTTATAATTATAAAAAGTATTTTCGCTTTAAACTAAAACGAAAAAATTAGACTTACAAAAGTAAATATAATTCAAAATGTAAAAAAAAAATTGCATGTAATAGCCTCTGATGTCGGGAAATTAATTCTTCGATACATTGTCTTAGAATGTTAGCACACCAATCGATCGATGCCATTGATCGCCCTTGATCGATGTTGATCGATAAAAATTGTTCAATCATCGAAAATTAATCTTTGTGGTTGCGGGCTCATCATCAGTATTTTTCAAAATGTATTCAGAAGAAGACACGTTATTGTTGCCCAGTACGCTCTTGTCCATATTATTATGGAGACGCAAACGCAGAAGACACCGGTAGCGACCGTAATTTTATAGCTAGAGATCACTTTTTCATCTAGACGACATTTTAAATTGCGGTCGGTGGAGTGGGGCGGGTTTTCGAATAATCAAGCAGCTCGATCGACGTCGACAAATCCATTACACCATCGATCGATCGATTGGTGTGGTAAACACCCTTAGCACGATTTCAAAATCTATTATCATCGTCATTATAGTTGCATCACGAATGGGTCGACTCGACCATGAGACATACCTGCGATCGCATTTTGTGTGAGCATAAAATAGCGGTTTCTGGTAGGTAGATATTCAGAACCGGAGTATTTTTTCTCTATGTACGAGGCAGCACATATTAGTGTAGTGATTATAACTCAGCTCTATTTTAATCCATTTCAGCACACGATAATATTAATGAAGAAATAATTACTTAAGTGTTTGTTATTTTACGTTGCAGCAAGGAAGTTTGGGTAGCAGCGACGAGAATTCGAATTCTGATGACGATGGTATGAGCAACCGCGCGATCGATTTGGACGATACCTCTTCTTTAAACCAATAAATAGTTTTCTAATTGTTCGTTTTTATTTTTATCAACCCTATTCTCTCACTAGGGCTATTATATCTCTATCCCGATAGGAACAAAATACAAAAAAAAAATTAAAAATAATAAATTATCAGCTATTGTCACTCATAATCGTAACATTTATCTTTTAAATGATACTGTTATAATTATTCTAGATTAAATGTTATCTAAGGACGAATGAACATCCTATTCAAATGTAATTATTTGTAAGTCGGTTTTCGATAGCTATGGCCATTTCTGGAAAGCATGGAAGAGTTTGGAATAATGGACTTTTACGCTAGATATTTTTTATAGAATAGGGGCAACGAGCATGCGGCTCACCTGATGGTAAGTGACTACTGCCGCCCATTAACAACTGCGACACCAGGGGAATTGCAGATGCGTTGCCGGCCTTTTAAAAAGGAGTAGGCTTTTTTCTTGCAGGTCCCTAAGTCGTAACGGTCCGGAAAAATTGCTGGTGGTAACTGATTTCACAAGGAAGTTGTGCGAGGAAGAAAACATCTTCTAAATCGCACAGTGGTGGACCGCCAATCACCCAGATGGTGTGGATGGTATCGTGAGTTTTGCCGCGATGTGCGTTCGTGAAATTTGGCGGCTGGGATTAATCCGAACAATTCCTCAGAGCACTCCCCGTGGTAGGTGCGATAAAATACGCAAAGAGATGCAACATCTCTACGCAGTACCAGTGAATCGAGCCGATCGGGAAGAACTCGGACGATTCGAACCGCTCTGCACTGGATGCGGTCATGTGGAAGGAGTTGGCACTGGGGAGCAAAGAGATGGGAACAGTATTTCATGTGGGAACCTGCGGCTTGTAAAGTTGCAAGCGGAGTGCCGGCATGAAATACTGTCCCGCTCTGCTGAGCATGCCAAGCTTTTTAGAGGCCAATTTGGCCTTCTCTTCCAAGTGACCACGAAACTGCACATCATTCGATATGTCGACACCGAGGATTCCGATACTGGCTGCGGCAACAAGGGGAGTGCCTTAAAACTGAGGAGATACGAGAAAAGGGTCCTTTTTAGTGCTAAACGCGCAAAATTGCGTCTTCTGGGGATCGGACTGGACTAGATTAAGTGGCACCCAGTCCGAAACTTTGTTCAACAAGGTCTCGACTTCAGACATAAGTTTGTTCCGGTACTCAGCAACGTTTTACCGAGTAATATTGGCACGGCCGGTGTATAAAGCATCACCAGTGCTGTCGTCTGCATAGCAATATATGTTAGCAGTTTGCAACATATCATTGATTCGCAGAAGAAACAGCGTTGGTGATAGCAGTAGCACGCAGCCTTTTGGAACACCAGCATTAATGGGCTTGTAATCGGAGCATGCACCGTCTACTACGTCCTTGATGCTCCGCTCTGCAAGAAAACTGATGATCCAATTGCACAATTTCTCGGGAAGCCCACAGGAAGAAAGCTTCGAAAGAATTTGTGCCATAACCGATGGAAGGCCTTCGCTATGTTCAAACTAACGGTCAACGCCTCCCCCTTGGACTCCCCTGCCTCCGCCCATCTATAAGTTAGGTAACCTAGAAGATCACCAGCCGAGTGACTTCGACGAAAACCGTACTGGCGATCACTAATCAGCTGGTGATCCTCAAAGTACCGCATGAGCTGGCAGTTAATAATATATTCCATTACTTTGGTGAACAAGGAAGTGATAGCGATAAGCCTGTAGTTGGACGGTTCTGAGCAGTCTCCTTTTTTAGGGGTCGGGTGCATCAAAGTTGTCTTCCATGAGTTTGGGACTACGACTACGCCTAGAGTAGGAGTGCCGGAGAAGACGCGTTAAAACCGATACCGACTCCGGAGCACAATAGGTGGGACTCCATCAAGCCCACTTGACTTGATGACGTTCAGGGATAGGAGTGCTTTGCGCAACGAGTGCTGTGTAAACAGCACTTCTTGCATGGAACACTCACACCGCGGGATGGTCGGCGGTGTGTTTCCCCCGTCGTCGAGAGTCGAGTTGGAAGCAAAGAGAGAGCCTAGCAGATCGGCTTTCTCCTTTGTGGCATGGGCCAGTGAGTCGTCCACCCTGTGCAGAGATGGCTGACAGAAGTTCCCCTGGACAGCCTTGGCGAGAGACCAGAATGCACGTGTTCCTGAAGCACCGGCTCTTCTCTATGACTGTATATTGTTCTGTAATGGACAGTGACCACTATTTGTATGACTTATACGAAATCCTGACAAAGCTGAAACCCTTTATCACATTTTCTGACCTTTAGATACATTGTGCTATAGACGCTTGAGGAGGCTTAGGTATCTTACATTGTAAAAGTCATCGCATTACAGCTTTGCAACACTTAACTGTAATCAAAATGATTTATGCTTGAAGCGAATGATATATATCATTGTTTGACAAACAATGGAAGCCTGTTAGTAATGGGCATAACTAAAATGATTTATAATATATATAATAGCATATATGTATTATAGTTCGAGAACTTCGATAGCGTGAGTTAGGCTGGTGTTCCTGTGGCGCGAGGACATCGCCGCTGCAATTTTATGAGAAGATGAATGACTCAAATAACAAATAAATAATCTTACTTTCATTAGATACTCTTTCTTTCAAGTCCACGTGTTTATTGGTCTAGGGTTGAAATTGTTTCAAATGTAAGTGTTTTTACATATTGTAAATGATTAATTAATAATTTTCGGTATTTGCGCAGATGCTAACAGCACTGTTATGATGTACACCGGGAAAACAGAGGATTACCGAAGTCAAATTTGCCAGAAAACCTTATGGATCCACGTACATAAACATAGTACAAATATATTTAATAGAAAATAATGTCCTTCGGACCGAATTTCGGTTACGGCGGCCAGCCTCAACGGAGACTAGCCATCTACACAGGAAAAGATTTTTGTACTCAAGTGTATACCTACCCAAACATAGGTGCACTATCTACTCCCTCACTCTCATATTCCGATGGGACGGCAATCCGATACGACCGGAGAGTGATCAGGCGCAGCAGCAACGGCCTTACGTGCTCTTCCAGGCACGGGGGTGAAATACCGTCAACTTCCTGACTACGGGCTGATATTGAGAATTTCTAGAAAAACTGAGTTTGGCCCAACCCGGGATTGACCCCGGGACCCTGTTATCGGTAGTCGAGTTTGCGACCACTAGTCCAACGAGTCAGTCCGTATCAATTTTTTCTATTTACTTTTAAGTCAAATTGTTTCAGAATTTGCATTTTAACAATAAATAAAATACGAAGTGGCTTACAATAGATTACGTGAGCCAAGTATCTCGTGGCTCTGCCGAATTGTGGCGAAGGTGGAAAAGATGGGGTTTTTATTAAATTTCTTAAAGTCTGCCATTTCCCATTATTGGCCATGCGTGGGTGGTACGAGTTATGCCTACGGAAACAGGTATAATATTTTCTGTCAAATATTTTTATTAGGAAGGAAGAAAGGTATGTAAACAATAAGGTTGGTTTATGCAACATATGCTGTCTACGATGCACTACATAGATGGAGTGACGACCTGGTAAGATATGCGGGAATTCGACGGATGCAGGTAGCTCAGGACCGTGCTTTGTGGCATTCATTGTGGGAGGCCTATGTTCAGCAGTGGACTTATGAAGGGCTGTAATGATGATGATGATGTTGCTGATGAAATGTTTCAAGTAACGCCACAGGCACCAGCCAGAGGTAATGCTAATGCGAAAAAAACCCGTCTTGTATTATATCGACTTATTACTGGTTTAAAATTTGCAGTAATTTTAAATAATGTTTTCCCAGTAATCGTCTCCCTTTCAAGTAGGTCGTTGTGCCAGACGCCGTTCACCATGGACGCTGTTTCTTGTCGCTGGTTTAAGGATGTCGTATCTGGTATAAATAATGATTATACTACCATCCATAAAGCCACACCACAAGATCTTCTAGTCGCCTCTTACTATACTAAGGGGATGAGAAAAAACTAATATTCAAAAACCAAAAAATACTTACAAACAAAACAGATTGAAACTGAAAGGTCGTCTCTATTATTGTATTTTAATCAACAACGGAAGCATTCTGTAATTTGTGAGTCATTTTAAAATTGTGTCAGCGTTGTTACTAATATGATCTTTGAAACCACTACTCGCGAACGGATCGTTCAGGGTCGTCGATTTTACACCTGTGATTATTAACAATTAAAATGACTTTAAAGAGTCAAACAATTATTTGAAACGTTTGATAACTCTTTATTCTACAACAAAACAATGAATGAACGAAAGGAGGAAACAAAAGATTTTAAGTGTCACAATTAATTTTATTGCTGCAAGTGGTATTTAATATTTAAAAATTTGTACAACCGACTTCAATATAAATATAATCTATTGTTGATTTTTAAATTTTATCATTCAAATTTTATCGACGGATTTTGATAAAATTTAAATGGGACCACCCGGGAAGTATACCCTTTAAAACAAAAAAAAGAAAGAATTTTCCAAATCGGTTCTGACGTCTTCGAGTGATTGGTGAACATACATGAAAAAAGATTGCGACGAATTGTAAACCTCTCCTCCTTCTTGAAGTCGGATGAAAATGACTTAAGTACAAAGGCATTGTTAAATAAAATAATTATAATAGTTTCGAAATTTTCTGTTATGATTTTCTACAACTTCAACTGTCATTCCTTGGGCTTATTTTAAATTGACAGATATGATAACTACAATTGTGAAATCCTTAAAGAATTTAATAGAAGTTACTGTGTTTGTAGCGTTCGTAGTCACTGAGTGTTCGTTTTTCTGGTACAATGACGTGTGTTCGAGTTTCGCGAAAATTGGAAGGAACTTTCCACTCCAGAGGGGAGTCTGCCTGTGGGCAGCTGGTGCTGATAAGGCTGCTGATGTGGTCGAAAGCTCGAAAGCATTCACGTGACTGCAAATATGCAGGGAATGTGGAACACCATTTTGTTTTAGTCAACGCAACTCCAATATAACCCGTGACACTGACGCCTTGTCTATAACGATAGTGTGCACTTT